AAGTGCCACAAGAGTACTTTTAGTCACAAAAGACTAAAGTAAAAGCAAGTGCCTCAAAAGTAGACCAAACAGTCATTCAAAATACAATGGCCTCAGTACTTAGCATCAACCCTGCTAATCCTAGCTACACCAATCAAAAGGGTCAAAAGAGTCAATCATTAGGGACCTAGTCCACAGTAGGATTACCAGGCGGAATCTCCTCCTCAGGATCCTCCTCCTGATCTGGACTCTGGACAATATCCATCACCCCATCTATCATCTCAGTGGCATCAGTTAGGATCCTGGAAACCCGATCACGGATCTCTTCACCTAACCTAGTGAGTCGAGCCCTAGTCCTCTGGAGCTCCTCACGAGTAACCGCAGTAGTAGCCACCTCGCCCTCCAGAACCTCCTCAAGCTCCGTAATTCTTTCTCCCTGAGCACTAACCATCTACCTCAACTCGTCTACCTCCGCCTGTAAATCTAAGTTAGTGTTCACCAACTGACGACGCTCGTCGTCCAAAGCTAGCATGAGGTGGTTCGGGTAGGCGAAGGTCAACTTACACGAACATCGGGGATACCTATTGGCAAGTGAGTAACGCACGCGAGCCCCTCTACCAAGAGCTTGGTACTAAATAAGCCTAGGAGGCTCAACATGACTATTCGCATGGCCATTCCCATTAGCTGTTGGGGCTCCGTTTCCATTTTCCATCCCTGCAAAACAATCACATTTTTCGGGTTAGAAACTTAATCACTAGCTCGCTCGGATGTCACCTAGGGCATGCCTAACTTAGTCACTAGTTCGCCCAAATATCACTTAAGGTTTGACTTAGTCATCCTATCTCAAATCTTAAAGGTAGAGTTTCTAATATGTCACCCATATAGATCTCTAGCCTAATGCTCTGATACCAACTGTGACGCCCCCACTTCTCCCTAAGGCGAACCAAAGGGTATCTGCGGGACGCCTGCCCAACTCTCGCCAGGACTCAAAACAATTCCCGTTCAAGCTTAATGAAATACCAGCCATCACGATGATATAAGTAAGAAAGGGAGGTCATTCTCATAAATAACATTCAAACTTACGTCACGAGTTCCAAAATACGTCAAGTATCCAATCCTTACATCAAGTTCTCAAAATATACAATAATCCAGAGTCTAGCCAAGCATATTGAAAAACCCTAATACAAAAGTACATTCGAAAGGGTTTCTCCGAGGTCCATTCCAGATCCTTTCCTGTTAAGGAAAACAAATCTACAGGGTGAGCAAAACACTCGTGAGGCCAAGAACATACATGCAAGCACGTTGTTCAAGTAACAATCCCTATTTACAAGTAGAACAATGATATTGCAATAATTAACAATTCGAGCGAGAAAAGTAAACAGAAACAATTCAAGGATATAGGAGCTCTTAGGAGCTATTTCCACTTGCACGATCATGAACCTCTACTAGTTAACACTCCGTCAACCGGGTAGGTTTAGTCCGTAGAACTTCACTTATCATGTCCCCTTTCACCTTACATACCCTTGTATCGGGCCCGCCTGTCGTTTGTTTGAGGCAATACTGCTCGAGTATGCCAAGCAAGACCTCTCAATAGGTCAAACTTATATCTTCTCATGGTTCACAAAGGAGCCCGACCAAGCCCATGCCGGCTCGAATCCAAGGTTAGCCAGTGAGATTTGGGCGTCCCCCATGTTCATTTGTGAGTCGAGGAGATTCACTCCAGCGACGTATGCAGCCATAGCATACCATTTCATTTCATTCAATCATTTAATATCATTCAATCATTCATTTCATTGAATACATTTCATTCCATTCATTTCAAATGAGAACGAGTGCGGTAAAGTACACACTCAACTCCATTTTCAAAATCTCCAATCATTTATAAGAGTTAAGCATGTATCAAGTAATCGTACACTTGACACTCACCGAGTGATTCAAGTAGCAAGTACAAGCGATTGATTAGGCGTCTCCCGTGAGATCCTCTTGGAGATCCTCTTGAGTGCCTGAACAATTAATAATGAACTATCATTTATAAACCCCAATTATCAAGGAAAATGATATACTTGTACAATCTAAGAAAATTTCACGAAAATGGGGCTTAATTACTCGTAAATCGAGGCTAAAAAAATGGAATTTTAAAACACAAGAAAAATCTGATTTTTTTCATCTTTGCAATCAAGTATACAACGGTCTAGCAATATCAAAGGAGATAGAGAGTTCGAAACCCTCAATTTCCTTTAAGTTTGGAAATTTCAGATTTGTCGAGCAATCTTTGAAAAATCGTATCTCACTCTCTACAAGTCCAAAATTGAAACTTGGTACCGTTGGAAACTTCTTCCAAAGTACTAAAAGTTCCAAGAAGACACTTTTCCATGATTCCAAATGAAAGATATTCAAAATTTAGCTCAAAATGGCTGTTTTGGAATGCCAAGACAGATTTGGGTTGATTTTCGGTAAAGTTTGGAAATTCGGCAAAATTCACACAATGTGAACTAGCCTCTGAAATTTGGAACTCAATTAGAGTTACAATCAAAGTTTTCAACACAACAAACGGAACAAGAATTGGAGTTTTGGGCACCAAGATATGGTAGCTCAAAGTTGCTGCAAAAGTGAAACTGTTAAGCAAATTCCAGGTTTAAATCACGTACTTCGGGACTTTGTTTGAGCTTCAAATGGACTCAGAATGGTACCAAATTTGGTATGATTATACTGCCATATAAGGGCTATTCCTCTGTCAAATTTCATAGAAAAATATGTACAGGAAGTCAGTTAACAAAATCATTAAAGCTCCAAGAACTTCCAAGACAAAACTGCCTTGTGGTTTCGTTTTCCGTTTTCAAAACGTTTGGCCAACAAAATGTCTCAAACACGGTCCATTTGTGTAGACAATGTCTAAGAAACATCCAAGATACATTTGGTAGGTGATCAACATCAAGAATTTCAAAACAACAAGTCCCAATCAAGATTTAGGCATTTACTAGTCAAAAAGAGGGTTTTCAACCACTGAATCAGTTTCGAACTTCGGCCACAACTCACTCAATTCAACTTGGAATTGAGCGTGGTTAGTGGCATTGGAAATACATTCATAAGACTAAAAGTTCACAGAAGGAATCTTTTTAAAACTCTGTCCACAACTAGCCAATATTCGAGCATCAAGTTGCAGCTCATGACCTACACTCCAGTGGATCAGCGAAATAGGGCAGTCATGTTCAAATGATTGGTATGGTTAACTCAGGTAAAATCAGGGCATACATTTTATACCATTGGAAAACTGGAAGTGTCTAGTTTCTAATGCCATTGACGGAACTCTATTTCGACATCGGAGTGAAAAGTTATGACCGAAACAAAAACACTGCCAGAGTAATACGGGACTCATTTCCACCTTTGACAAATTTTCAAAAACTCAATATTTAATCATCCAAATCACGTAATTTTTTGTGGAAACCTTCCACACAACCCACACAGCATTTATACATCATAAACAAGTCAATTGACACAAAAAAATGCACTAAGGGTCACGGCAATAACAAGGGCAGATTTGTCACTTTTGCTCAACTATCTCCTTTTGAGTTTTCCTTCACAACCCAACGTATTTCCACTAGATTAAGCACTAATCCAACATAAATACCATCATATATCATCAAATCAGTCCACCAAGCCATTGTGGGATTTCATAGAGCCCACACACCAAATTTTCAACATAAATAAAGCTACCCATATGAATATATGAGCTTATAAGTGCAATATAACTTCCATAAGTCAAGATTTGAGAGGTTGATCATCAATTACTTTCTTAGATGATCAAGGCAAAAATTTTGGTCCTTTTAGCTCAAGAAAAACCGTGAGAGCAAGCCCTTTTTCCTAGCTTGAGGTGATCTCCAAGTGGTTAGCAAAGTGTATGTGAATTTTGAGGTGATTTGGTGAAGATTTGAAGCAAGGATTGATGAAGGAAAATGAAGAACTTTGGTTGTTTTTCTCCTTGGATGGCCGGCTGTCTTAGAGCAAGAGAGAGAGAGGTTTTGGCTGCAAATGAAACTTCCAAGAGAAGCTGAAATGTGTGGCTCTAAATTGGTTCAAAAGTCAACTCTCTCTCCCGCGCGTATGCTCGCGTTTCGTGCTCGATTCCTCTCGAGGTTGTTTCACTTGTGCACTAAACCTCTAATGCACTTGTATTCCTACTATTATTATTCAATCTTAATGGTCTAAAAATAAGGGTCTAAAGTCCCTCAATTAAATCGCGCGTGTAAAAACACGTACTTCCAATTTGTGCGCGGTAGAGTGGAATTTTCACGAAATTCTTATAACGATATTATCACTAACTAATACTTGAGTACTCAAACATAAAAATACCTATTTTAAGACTAGTGTATAAGTCTCCAATTTTTCAAGCTCATAGTACTCTCAAATCGGTTATTGTCTCTAAACGCGTATTCGCTATTCTCACTTAACGAGCTTCCAAAAATTAAATTTTGAAACGAGTCACTTTAAAAATACATGTGAGCTATTATTCTATGTAATTGAGTAATAAAAGGTCAAAATAAAATATTCTGAGTAAATGGCCAAATAAATAATTAAATAAGCTAGAAATAGAAAATTTAAATAAGTAAATTTTGCGAGTCCTCACAATCTCCCTCGGCTGATGCTGAACAGAGTCAAAGACCATACTAGGATATCCTTGCAGAGCCGCTAACCTGTCCGCAACCATATTTGCTTCCCGGAATATGTGGATAAATGACACAGCCACCTGTTCCAGTAGACGACGAATCTACCTCAGCAAATTGCAATGCGACCACCCCCCCAGAGCCAACGACCTGACAAAGGATACAAGAACTGCAGAGTCAACCTCCACCAACACCTCCTAAACCCCCTTTTCCGTACACACTCGCAACCCTTCTAGTACTGCTAGTGCCTCGGCCTCGAGGACCCCCTTCTCCCCAAACTCCTTATAAAACGCGAAAATAAGTCTACCATCCGAGTCGCGCAAGCCATTATAAAATGTTTGGATTATAAGCCTATCGGGAAGTCCATGATGTGGACATTTCCTTAGCAAGCCTCTAAACCTTTCCTAAGTTTCATATAACGACTCACCATCATGTTATCTTAAAAAAGTTATATCCATTCTAAATTTAGCCATCTTTCCAGGTGGAAAACATTTATTCAAAAAAGCATGAGATAAATCCTCCCAAGTAATAAAAGTGTTAGAAGCATGAAATTGCAACAATACCTTAGGTTTATCATGGAATGAGAAAGGAAATAACCTTAGTCTAATGGCATCTTCAATTACTCCATTCATTTTAATAGTATCACATATCTCTAAGAATGTAGTCAAGTGAGTATTTGGATCATTTATTGTATTATCTTTAAATTGAGATTGTTGAATCATTTATATGAGAGATGGTTTAATCTCAAAATTGTTGGCCTTTACCATTGGCCCTGTAATGCTTATTTGAGAACCTTAAGTCCTTTGCAGGAAAAAGACTCAAAGAGCTCACCTATTAGTTTCTTCTACCATCATTTGTTCAACTAAAGGCAATTTTGTGATAACCTGAACATTTTCACATTTTACAGGCATTATTTTATTTCTTTGCCTACATTTTTATTCCTTTCCTTTAAAATAATACATTTTCTATATATTTTATAAGTAAATACCGTTTTTAAATCATTTTCTGGTATAAGTTAGTGTACGTTCAATTTGGCAGTGTATTAAGGACGTGGGACCCGCTAGTGCGGTAAGTGCGATAACATTTTGACGACTAGGTTAAGTTTTGTATAAAGGAATATTACTGTACAATGTGCTAGGAGACAATTAGAGGTTAGCTAGATAAATTATCATTGGTAGACAAAAGGATAGGATTGAAACCCTAAAGGACCATTTGTCACAAAACTATTGGAACTTGGACTTTGACCAATTTTCACCTTTACTAAATACCAAAAAAATTGACCAAACCTTCTTCATTTTCCTTGTGCCTTGGCCAAATTTTGTGAGGAGAAAACCAAGAGAGTTTCTTCATCTTCAACTTCAATTCTTGCTCAAATCTTGAGTTTCAACCGTTGAATTATCAAATTACTCTATCCAAGTTGCTTACTAAGGAGGATTAAAGCTTCTAGTGGAGGGATTTGTGAAAGGAAAACCCTAAGCCATCATCTTTCTTGAAGTGTCAAGGTACCTTGCTTGGAAACTTCCTCTTTGTTCTTGCTAATGTCAAATTAGTGGGTTTTAGTGGCCAAATATGCTATTTTATGAAAGATTTTATAGTTTGAGGAAGAGTTAGCTAAATTTCAGATTTATTGGTGAATTTTCTGCCCTCACATGATAATTATTGGTTGGCCATGGAATGATGACTTGATATGGTGTAAAACGAAGCTTTTTTATGTTAGTTGTGCTTGTTTGCGGAAAATTTCAGTTTGTACAGAAAATTTCAGTTATAGGGTTTCCAATCTGCCCTGTTCTGACCAGCTTTATTCGTGCATATTAGAAGCCGAATCAGGCTTAGGTTAAAACAAGAAAGTTGTAGCAAATGGTGTTAACTAGTTGTCTACAAAATTTCAGCTCGATACGAGCACTGTAGCATGTTAAATGACCGAAATACCCATGACTGCCCATGAACCCTGTTTCACCGACAAATTTCTGTTTTCGTGGAGATTTCCATTTTTTACCCGGAAAATGCATGTTTTAGCTTTGGAGGCATTCATAAGAAATGTAGGTATATGTCTTGGTTTCGAAACGCCATAAAATTCGTTTCAATCCAATAAATGTAGCTTCAGTTGTGGTTATTGTGCCGAAAGGTGTGTTTTATAGTCTATGATGTGTATGTGGTTGATTTGAGATGAATTGGGGTTGCCTGTACGATGGAAAAGTAAGGAAATGTAGGGGATATGCTGTCCAAATTTTGGGAATGTTGGATTTCTTCGAGTTTGGTTTGGTTTGGACTATATATAATAAGGGCTTTTGGGGTTGTTCGAGCCCCAGGTTTTCATGTTACCTTTTCGTTCCAAAAATCATGTTTTACACCCTTGCATTTGTAATTATTTGGAGAGGTATACGACTTGTAGTCGAACCTCATTTGTGCATCTTATTTACTGGATTTGTGGCTGTGGGAACCATAATTGTTTACCTTGGTTATTATAGGGTTTCTTGGTGATTAGAGCCCTACTTTGGTTGAAACTTTTGAAGTATCCTTGCTTTAACTGGTGAGTGTAACACTCCCCTGAATTATTGCTAAACTGATTATCTGTACTTGCAAATTGCTATTTGAATGTTTTCACCGACTGTTTATTTTGTATGAGACGAGAGTGTACTTTATCACACTCGTTTCTCTTGCTTGTCTACTACTTCCTGTATCAATTTGAACTTGTTATCTGAGCCTGTTATGATGTCGTTTGGAAGTGTATCCAACTACCGTCCTGTTAAATCTAAGCTCAACCTCATGGGGAGTCAATTGAATCGAGCCAGTAAGGGCTTGGTTAAGGAAAATTGACAATCCATGGGTGTCTGTTCTTGGGAAATCTTTGGATTTTGGAGATTCTAGATTTCCGGTATACTCGAGTATTACCATTCCTGTTCTTGTTTGGCATTCGGGCCCTGTAATGGGTATGTTTGGTGAACGGGATTTTGGCGTAAACGGGGTCTACGGACATGTGTGTTTCATTAAACGTTGACGGAGGGTCAACGAGGTTGAGATCAAGTATTGCAACGGGAAGTTTGCTCCTGAGAGCCACCTATATCCTTTAATTTGTGGTGTTTATTCATTTATCTTATTTGATGTGTATATGTGCCCTAAACGTGATTCCTAATGATTTCTACTATTTATACTTTTGGTACCTTACTGAGCTTGTAACCCACCCCGTTCTGTTATTCTTGTTTTCCTTACAGGGAACGAACTTTGGAATTTCGATGTTTTGAAGAATGAGTTGAGCTAGTTAGAAATTCTTTTGTTCTTTTGGTATAGCTCCTCGACAATTTGAAAACCCTAAATGTATCTTAATACAATGTTTCCTTTTGGTTTGTAAACTTACTAATATGTATATTTTAAAGAGTTTCCTCATGTTTACGTAGCATATGTATTTAGGAATGTACATTCTCTCATGTTAGACAAAGTTTACTTGTTTTTGTTGGATTGTGACGTGGCAGTCACTGTTCATCTGCGGCTTGTTTTCGTTCTTCATTTTATTTTTTTTCGGTCGTTGTAGCGCTCGGGCACTGTATTATCTCTCGGAACAAGTATTTCAGGGTGTGATTAGCTTAGTAATTCTGGCGGCACTTCTATTTCATTTTGATTTGTTTTTTCGTGGGAACGTTGTACCAAAGATTGACTGTAACTTTTAGTTCAGCTCAATTGGATTCTGAATGTTTACCTTCTCGAAGTTCCTTTGAGCTTTTGGTAGGGTTTCCGTTTGTTCCAGATCCGTTGTCCCGGCGAGAGTTGGGCAGGCGGTCTGCCAAACCCTTTGGTTCACCTTAGGGTGAGGTGGGGCTGTCACAGGTGGTATCAGAGCCATTTCGCGTGGTCTCTGCGCGGAGTGAGCTTGGGCCAAGTGGTGTTACGGTCCCGATTGTGTGAATAAGTGTAAAGGAATTAGTGATTTTCTTGGGCGTAGGCTCTGAATCGTGTCTGTTATAAGTGTAAATTACTTATTATGATACTTGCGGAAGATAGATATGTATGTCGGGTATGAATCTTTAATATGAATGATTTACGCTTGGGATCAGCCGGCTCGAGTTGTGAATTATTTTCTTTGGGATTCTTGTACACGGATACGAAAGAAATGAGAACCTAGGTTAGAAATGACTTCGACAAACTAGAAATGTGATTCTATGGAATTTCGTGTGATTTGTTCGAATGTTATTAAATATGACTAACCTTGATTAAGATATAAATTGTGATATTCTTGTAGATTGTGGATGGAACCCTAGGGGGGAGCTTTTCGTTAGTTGCTTTTGTACTTTTGGTCTAGTCCGTAGTGTGTACCATTGAACGACCCCTTACTTCTATAGGATTTCCTATGCTTGTATCTGACTGACTATTACTGTGTGATTGTTTGATATAGTCATGTTATATGTATATTTGTTTTTGAATTGATTCGGACGTATTATATATATATCTGACTGATTGAACTCGCTAGTTTGTATCTTGTATTCGCGCCTAGAGCCTAGATTAGTTAATCCAATGAAAGGAACTCGTAGTGGACGAGGCCGAGGCCGTGGACGTAGGCAACCCTCGAATGAAGGGAAAAATCGGGAACCAATGCCTGAACCCAACCCTGAACCTGGAGTGGATCCTAACGTTCAGGTAGTTGCGGCTATCCAGGGCATGACTGATCTTTTAGCTCACGTAATAGAGCATCAGGGCCAAAACCCTATTCCTCAACCTGGAAACCCTGGTAACCATATAGAGAGGGAATGTAGGGCTCTCGAACGATTTCAGAAGTTCTCCTCACCGAAATTTCTTAGTGGACCAGACCCTGATGTGGCCGAGCGGTGGCTAGAGAAGATGATTGATATTTTTGCGGTGTTACATTATACTGAGGAAAGACAAGTGATATTTGCTGTCTTCCAACTGGAAGGAGCACCCCGTTCTTGGTGGAATGTAATAAGACTGAAATGGGAAAGAGAACAAACACCGAGGACTTGGGTGAATTTTATGAGAGAGTTCAACGCAAAGTACTTTCCACCTCTAATTCAAGAAAAGAAAGAAGATGAGTTCATTAGGTTTCGTCAGGGAGCTCAGACTGTTGCCGAATATGAGAGCCAGTTCACTAAATTGTCTAAGTTCGCTCCCGAGCTGATTGTAACTGAGCAAAGGAGAATAAGGGCTTAAATGTTGAGATTCAGAAGGATCTGGCTGTAGCCCAACTAAAGGCCTTCAGTGACGCAGTGGAAAAAGCTCAACGAGTTGAAAGTGCAAGGTTACAAGTTAGAACCTTTCAGGCGAAGAAAAAAGCTATTCCTGGAAGTAGCAAGGGACAAGAAGATACGAGTATACCTCCCAAGCTCAGAAAGGGAACTGGAGGGGTAAGATTTCCTGGAATGTCAAGTGATGCTTCCCAGAGAGGCTCGGGCTCTGCTTATGGTCCCTGCAGGTACTGTGGAAAGCTGAATCACACGGAGGATGTCTGCTGAAAAAAAAC